CAGTGTAATTTCCATATATGGAACATAAGGAGTCAGGAGTGAATGACATTCTGAAACTGACCAATTTACATACCTTACTGTTAAAAAAGAGAGCAACATGTGCAGTTTTCCATAATATAGGCCCTTTAACGTCCAGTGTCTCCCTATAAGGTGTATAAAAAACCTCACCTTGAAAGGAAACTATTACTACTGTAATGGCCGTACAGTTCTGCCCATCCAGAAGTGAAAGATGAACTCCTTTCATGTTTGTGCGACTTTATCCTTCGGCAGTGCCCAGCGCTGCTAACCCCACCACGCTGCCGCTCCATACAGCCGGAACAGCTGCTGTGTCCAAGCCAATTCCCTGACCTCCTCTCACCTCAACTTGATTCTGTCAGACATCTGTTTTTGTGCCTTGGCTTTATCTGACATTCCTGACAGGTCCGTGCCCCATACCTCACTGAGGCCAGCGGTCACATAAGCAGCGGAAAGTCATTTGAGCTGCTGCACTGGTGGGCCACCGTGGTGGACTGAAGTGAGTGCGGCTTGGGTCTGTCTAGTGCAGGGCAAAAAAGTGGCTAGAGCAGCTCAAAAACAGCATTACTACACTGATAGGGCAGAACAAAATGTTTGTGAAGACCTTTTGGTCACTATGAATAAACAATATCTTAACCCTCTGGGGTCCTTAAACTCACCCGCACATGAAACTCAATGTTTTTACATATGTTTCTCTATCTTTCTGATAATATAGCACAGAAATACAGTTCAAACATTTTCTGAATCTGTAGAGTCGCCTTTTTTATTCCATCTTGTTGCGAGATCGTACGTCACTCATATCCGGAGTTATGAGGCTACGAAGACAAGCTAATATACACAGCATCTGCCTCTCGCAGACCAGAGATAATCCACATAAAAATGCAGGTGTAAATGCACCCAAGATGCATTCAAAACAGATTTAAGGTGGTCTGAGATGAATTTGGTAGCCTAGTTCACCAGCTACACCAGGCTGTTTAGTTCTGTTAACTCTATGGGGCCCACAAACTCACCAGTGCATCAGATTTAATGTTTCTATTTATGTTTCTCTATCTTTGCTATAATGCAGTGCAGAAATACAGTTCAAACATATCTTTAATCTGTAGAGTCGCCTTTTCCATTCCATCTTATCATGAGATCGTACATGACTCGTATCCGAAGTTATGAGGCTATGAAGAGGGGCTGAGATACATGTCATCCACCTCTTACCATGTGCAATTGGTGGACGTGTGTCTGTCTACATTTTGTGTGAAACTGACCAATGGACACTCGGGAAATCCCTAAGGACTGACCATCACATCAGAAACCCTTTATTCTTTATTCAGCCCACATCATAGACACGCGTGTAAAATGTCATGAAAAGAGTTTACAGCTGCTGAAGTTGCTGCAGTGGTTTTGGAAAGTAGCGATGAAGATAACGGAGCATTTTGATATGAAACATATGAGTATCATGTTTTATGCAAGAGCCTTTAAAGGCGAATTTAAGAAGATATGCAAAAAATTGAGAAAATGTCCTCGGACTCCTGAGGGTTAACTTTTCACTTTGCCTTGTCGTTATTCACAGCCTCCTTACAAACCATTACGTTAGAACGTACAAGTTCCTCAAAACCTTCTTGTTAATTTCTATTCCTGTCTGCATGGAGGAAATGCTCAGATGACCTTATTTCCTATTTTGCTTCCCACTTCCGGAGGAACCAACAGTTTGAGCAGATGACTTCAAATAGGAGGTTGAGAAACCGGAACATGGTATCATCCAGTTTCTATTTCAACAATCCAAAGCTTGAATTCTAACCACTAGTAAACATCCCCTTTTCTGTGAAAAGCTTTCTCCACACTGTAAATAAGCAACGTACGACCGACACCAGGCTTCTCTCTAGCAAATGAACGCTACTGGGCAATGTTCCTGAGATAAATGTTCACTCTAGCTTTGTCGGAGGAATACTGGTTGTACAACTGCAGAACCTCAGCATGTGTGATGATTCATTTGTGATTCAGCAGTAGACAAAATTTGTTGATAAGCTGACCCTCAGACACCACTGACTCACAGGGGGAAGGAAGGAGGCTGAGAGAACTTATCAAAAATGTCAACAGGACTTAAAATGTACAATGGAGAACCATTGATAAGCAGTATTCATAAAAAACACTTAACTAAAACTTAGTTTACTCAAGTTTACTCACAAGGAAAATTATTTACTTTTGTTTTCTACCTCAGTTCCACTTTAGCCACTTTAGCCATTCAACTAACTCTCCTTTTGGGTTTAATTTCACTCTGTTGTGTTGGTTCAGCTCCTGAACTGCTTCACTGCTGCTCACTCTTCTCATCTTGGAGCTTTGTTTTTTTTAAGACAAAAAGAATCCAAAAAGAGTAAAATAGAGCAAATTTCAGTTCCTATGCTGAAACACGTACTGAGATGTACTAAGGCAGGGGTCGGCAACATGCGGCTCTTTTACTGCCCTGTTGCGGCTCCACAGCAGAATTAGATTTGTAGGTAAAAATAAAATAATCCTCCTTTACAGTAAAATAAAACTCTGCTGATCATTCTAACACAGTTTTAACAATAAAAGGTCTTAAAAGCTGGAGTTAATGTATAACTGCTAATTTCACCCTTTAACCCTGAAGATTGGCACGCAGACTACTGGTCACCATAGCAACGCAGACAAGAATCTTGCCTAGCTAGTAGCTAACAAAAAGACAAAGAAAATTTTTTAAGACCGACACTGATAATTTGGAGACTAACCAACTTATTTGCTTTTACAATCACTCCAGCTGGTTTCCTGATATGTTTAATCTGCAACGAGAAGTCAGATGAAGTCGGTTTCTCATTCGAATTTTACAGCAGTTACAATCATTTAGGGTGTAACAGGAAAATTAGAACAAGAAGCCGGGGAATGAGAAGCGACTTCAGCCTCGTAAAAAATGAAACGTTGAGAGGCATTTTACAAGAAACGCATCTGCTTTTAAGGAAAAGTTTCCTGCCGGAGATGCGAGAAAACTGGCTACAGCTGAGCTAAAGCCTAAAGCAGAGCACAATAAGTTGTTGTTTCTTTTATATTATATTTTTTAGTCTATACCAGTACATTATCTACCACATATTAAGACATATTTTCAGCCAAGTTGGTAAAACGTTACTTCAATAAAATGGACACAAAATGTTGTGGCTCCCAAGGTGGTTTGATTTTTGTTGAAAGGACAAAATAGCTGTTCTTAACATGTGGGTTGCCGACCCTTGGACTAAGGGAATTTGGGAGGTCCTCAGATACTTGAAGAGTATCTTGACCATTAAACTTTAGTCAAGTTATTTTTTTCTAGGCTACTTTTACGTTTACTGTATTATTTGATTGAAATAATAACAATTTTACTTGAAAAGAGGTTTAGGCTACTCTACGCATGTCTGGTTAGAGCAGAAATGTGCAGGGCAGGGGGACCAGGGTTGAGGCCTGAAAGGCCTACTTTCCTGCACATTTTAGTGCTTTACCTGCTTTAACACACCCACTTCAGATCAGTGAGGGGTTAATAACAAGCTAATGTGTTGGGAACAAGGCAAACACTAAATTGGGCAGAACAGTGGACCTCCAGAACCAAGGCTAGGAAATACTGCCCTAGAAGATTAAATGAACAGTTATGAAAATATAGCAGTGCTAGTTATAAAATCTGATTGGCGGAGTTCTGTTCCAAGCTGTTATTGAGATATATTACCATACACATCAATAAACCTCTGAAGTCGTGTTGTGTTGTAGGCAGCATCATGCCCATGTAAGGAACTCCAGGTCTAAGCTGCTTTTCTCTATGGGAAAAATGAATCTTCATTTTCTAAAATTGCTGCTGTTGCACCCAGTGGGAAACAAAAACAATCCAAACCTGATATGTTTTGTCCTGTGTACATTTTTCCCTCAACGCCACTGGACCCTCTTGATTATGAGGTCATTTAACAGTTGAAAGAGCAGTATTATTATTACCATTGCTAACAGTCCTGTGTATTGAAATGATGTCACATGAAAAGTCTATTATACACTATTAAACACTATTATATAACAAGAACAGCTATTCGAATTGTAGCCTACTACTGCCTAGGCAACTTAACTACCACATTTTAAGGACCCACATCCTACATTTTTCTAGCATTTTATTCTTTCCCTTAAGGTCCATTTAAAACATTTCCAACTTCTCTTCATCCCTCACAACTAAATAGTTGTTTTTGTTACTGTGTCTTAAAGACTGATATACATAAAGTACTTGGCTTCCCTGTATTGTGCCTCATTCAAAAAGCAGTCTGGCCTGAAACACTCCTTATAGCTTCAACACAAACGGGTGGAGCTAAGCTGCTGTACTCTGAATAGGCTTATAGGATATATAGAAACAATGAATTCAAAACAGGCTGTATTTGCAGTATAGTTAGCTTATATGGACTGTATGGACTGGGGAGTGATTGGTACATTTTGAAATTTTAACAATGCTTAAATATTACTTTTTTTTTTTTCCTAAAAAGTGAGGGAAACTCAGTTCTCCATGATACTGGCCCTTTAACAAAGCTTGCTGGCCTTCTTGGAGTATTTTGTTGAGGTAGCCAGTCCTCTGATGTCAGTTTAATGCGCAGCGATGTTAGTCACATGTAGTACTGGTACTTCCACTCCTGAATTCAGACTCCTTGTAGTTCAGAGGATCCATGGGACTTTTGGAAGAGAAACTATCAGTTTTTAACATTTTTGTTAATCATAGGGTGCCAGCTTAGCCCCAAGCGTTCCAAATATGGGCATGACACAAAGTACAAAAAGGGGTCCATTGTGGCGTTCATGGAATAATTTTTAATCACCATGTTGCTTGGCAACTATATCCTACTCCTAACAGGATACACTGGTTGGTGGACAAACTGTTTATTGAGATCTGCCATGTGTCGTGCTTAGAAACGCATTGTAATCATGTAAAATCACTGTAACGCACAGCCTCAGTGTTTTATTGCTTTAGCAGAGTCACTCCAAATTTTACTCACCAGTGGCTCGGCCATGACTATCCGTATCTTTCGCTCCGAGTGGGTGGTGAAGTTGGCGAAGAGGCTTTTGAGGACATACTCGCCCGGCCGGCTCTCAGGGTCAACGCTGATGGGCATCATGGCCGGGGGTCCTTTCTCACCCTGGGCACAGCACACTGGGGCCACTGGAGGCTTACTGTATCCAGGAGAGGCTGCGAAAAACACAAAAAAACAAGCACAAACTGGTTAAAGCACTTGGGTTTGGCCTTCTAGCAGGGAAATGAGGGGATTTTGGCAACTGGGTGGGGTGAAACTGAGAAAATTCTCAGTGTTCACTTGAGATATGAAATGAAAAACACGCTGCAGGACTAACACTGCTGTTGTTCCGTTTTTAAGTTTCTGAAATGACTTAATGAATCATGTGCTACTTAGGGCAAAAAAATTTAGTCTGTTGCTCAGCCCACAATTTTAGACAGTATGTCATCTCCGAAGTTCATAGAAAGGTTTTCTCTCTCACTCTCTCTTTGTCTCTCTTGCTAAGGCCTCAGTCCATCAGACACTCTTATCTCAGCGCAGACAAACGGAAGTGAAACGCCCCAACTGTTCCCATTCTGCCACTGACACATGACATCATTACTCTGTAAGGCAAAAAGAGCCCATCCCCTCATGAAGTGGAGAGAGAAAGAAAGAGAAAGAGAAAGAAAGAGCTTTAATAACTGCTCCAGTGGTGCACTGAAAAACTTTATTCCTCATACATTATAAGATCAAAAGTATGTGGACACCTGACCATCACACTTATATGAGTTTGTAGGCCCTTCCATACCCATGTGCATTAATGTGGAGTTTTCATAGAGGCCCATTTCATGATGCTCCCAACACACAATGCACATTTTTGTGCTTGTGTTATTTCCAGAGACAGTCTGGAACCAAGTGATGGAACAACAGATAAGTACTCAGCCCACTCACTCACCCCACTCTGTAAGTTTGCGTGGTCTACTGCTTTGTTGCTAAGATGTTGTTGCTCCCAGACGCTTCCATTTCACAATTACGCCACTTACAGTTGACCGGGGCAGATCTAGTAGGGCAGATATTTCACAAACTGACCTATGGCCATCCTATGACAGTGCCACAAAGTCACTGAGCTTTTCAGTAGGAGCCATTCTACTGCCAGTGTTTGTCTAAGGAGCTTGTCTATGACTATTTGACTGTAGCAACGGGTGGGCTGAAACATCTAAACTCAATCATTAGGAAGGGGGTCCACATACTTTTGGCCACATGACATAATTTCACATTGAATCCAGAATTAGTAATGTTCATTGACAATAGAACTAATAGACATAAACTAATGTTGGGTAAAATGTAACATAGATATTTTATGTAGTTAAACAGGTTCAAAAATAACACACTTTTAGTCATCGTTTCCAGCGTCATATTTCAGGCATATTTCTCAAGATTCACCCCGAAGACTGATTTTTTGTACCAAATAAGTAACATTTTTCATTTTTTTTTAAGTCAGTCGTGCATATTATTGTGATCATCCTGTAATATAGCACCTTTAGAAGCATAAACAACTCAGAGTGAGAGCTAGGCAGGCTAAATTACTGCCTCCACACAGCAGGGTAAGTTTAATACACAGTAAACAATGAGAGAACTCCATATTGCCAATATAATTTCAACACTGTCTGTTTTTTGTCTGCTTTTGGAAGTTTTTTAAACAGATTATTCAAAAATGTACTATAGATGTAATTTAAAGAATATACTTAATTATATTGTGCAGATATTTGCTGTTCTACTTTGTGGTCAAAAATAAATTTGCCATGTTTGACACATTATCTTTCCACTAATCATACCTTATGGTTATATATGCTCATTTGTTTGGGTTGGAAAGCTCTTCTGGTGCAACTGTGGGATAAGTTGTAACATCCACACTTATGCCACTTTTGACTGTAACGTTAACAAACAGAAAACAATGTTTGGAAACAATGTTTATGCTTTCATTTGTAGTAGTGATGTGTAGTTTGCTTGTATAAAATATTAATTTTGTACTTTTCTTACATTGTCAACACCAAAGTGTGCTCCACTCTCCGAGCACTAGTACAAAATAGCACAAAACCCTAGTGCACAATACAAGCAATGCGTAATCATTCTGTTTATATATGATTCTATGGCACAAATAGCATCACAATCACTGCATCAGTGACAGCAGCGTCAGCCAAGTTTGTAAGGAGGAGACAGTCATGACTTCATGATCATCTAAAGATGTTAATGAATGTATTTTATCCATTCAAAGTAATATTTTCAGAGCAGTAACTAGACTCACATAGACGCTTCAGAGCTCTAACAGAGAAAAGAAATTCACTCGACTCAGAAAGTAATCTCGACCTCCCAAGAACGAGGGCACACATTAGACTGCATTACAGCAAAGCATTAAAACAGTATGTAATCTTTGGCTGAAAATCAAGTTGTTTTCATGTTCCTGCAAAATGTCCACTCCCTCTTACGCACACTGGAGCTACTGTACTTCAGGCGTATGAAACAGAGCTCAACTGATATATCAATGTAGAACATCAGCCGATACCGACAATCAGCAAAAATACCGCCGATAATTCACTGACAATAATTCACTTATGCAAAAGGCTCCCCTGATTAAATGATGTGCTGCTGATTTTCTTTAAGTGAAAATGAGTCAACATATCCAACACGGGAACACTGTGCTAAATTTAATATGCACTAAATTTGACATTTTGGAAAAAAATAAAGAAACATGAAGTGTCACGTGTGTAAACATTTGGAAAGTTTATTTTTTGTTATTTTTTGTTGCTTTTTGTTCCCCAATATGTTACATTTAGCAAATACATAGAAATTTGGTCGATAAGATTTGAAGAAATATGCTATATGTTATGTGTTTTCTGTACAGAATATACTTGTATTTAGAAAATTAGGTAATTTACAGAAACCAAAAATGCAAGGGGTCACTGATAGCCCTGACTGAGGTGCTACAACATTTATATTATTAAGACTGCCATATTCTGCTGTTTAGGTGAGTTTCTGTCTAAAAGGTTAGATGATGCCTTATTGTTATTAAAAGCATGACGTGGGTGAGAGACAGAGAGAGACAGAGAGAGAGAGAGAAAGAGAGAGAGAGAGAGAGAGAGATTCTGATCTATGCCTGCAGACTTGTTCATACTAGCTTCATATCTGCTGCTATCATAGTTTATCAGAATTTAAAACTGATATTGGTATCGGCCATAAAACTTTCATATCAGTCAGGCCCTAGTATGAACAAGTCTGCAGGCATAGATCAGAATATCTCTCTCTCTCTCTCTCTCTCTCTCTCTCTCTCTCTGTCTCTCACCCACGTCATACTTTCAATAACAAAAAGGCATCATCTGCAATAATACAGTAACTGTGTTCATTAGAGGGATCAAATTAAGAATGCAGTGCAGTACTGACGCTGCTGTTGTGCCTCTTTTAATGTAACTGAAACAACAGATTAGCCCACGTGCTACTCAGTGAAAACAAAAGCCAGCCACTCAGCCCTCTGTGTCAGACATTGGGCCATTTCTCAGCTACAAAGTAGGGATGGACAGCACTACTGCTTTCCTTTTCAGTACAATACTGAGTTATATGAAGGCTTGAATACCAATAGCACCATGAGTACAGATACTTAAGCCTTCTTATGAACATTGGAAGAGGGAATCGTTATGATTTCCACAGCAAAAAGTGGTTAATCAAACAATTAAATATATTTAAATTTAATATACAGAGTCTTTCTAAGCCTTTCCTCAACCTAAGCCTTGACCTGTTACTGTAACATTGCGCTTCTCTATAGATAACAGTTGTTTCAAAAATATTAACGGGGGGATAAATGGTTAAAATAATCTAATATCAGTCCTATAATATTCCTGTGACTTTGCTGTACTCCACTTTTATTCAGTGCAAATATAGTTTTTCATAGTTTTCAGAAAAACATAAATATTCTAGGGATGTATGATGATATTGTAATATTGGTCTCAGCACATAATTGCTAAAAAAACATTATCAACAGACAGATGTTCAGATTTGATCAATATTTGGGCTACTGCACTATAATATCAGCATTTTATCTGCAAAAGTTACATTTCTCTGTAAGGCTAATGCAGGTGGATTTAGTCACAATTCCTACATCTTACATTATTGGAATTCCTACATCTTACATTATTGGAATTCCCATATTGCTGCATCCCTGAAGTGTTCAGCTTTATTAAAACCATTGTATTAAAATGACTTCATGTAGAAGTATATCCATAAATAAGCACATAGAAACGTATCAACAACATTTTTTTACGTACTTTAAATGCACCATCTGTCCTGGAATAAAATCTCTTTATATTAACAAAAGGTTTTTTTGCCTCTCCTTACCATTTTGGAGGAATTATTATTGAATATATGGTTACAGAAAGAGCTGTACAGCTATTGATATTCATGTAAGGATCAATTCTCAAAAGGAAACTTCTGGAGTCAAAGCATTGATCCTACAGCGTAAATCTCTCTCTCATCACATACCCAGGCCTTTGATAAAGCTGACCACACTCGCCTTGCTCCAGCACACGGCCGTGCCGTCCATGGTGGGGCAGCGGTGTACGGTGTCCATGCTGCTTTACTGCTTTTCACACGTTCTTTATCAACCATTCCTACAGTGGGCACCAGTTCCTCTGCCCCGAGGTGCAACTTCCATAGCTCTAAACTCCCAGTTCAGCTCCGCATGAATCCACCGGTTATTCAGGAATAATCAGAGATCCACTTTGAGTGCTTGGCTCCGCTGACAGACTCTCTGTACAAGTGTGATCGCGTCGTGGCTTCCAGGAGTGAAGGTCAGGTTGGAATTTTTAGCTGGAGGCCCGGGCAAGTGTGGAGGAGTGACATGCTGCAGTGGCATAGCAGCGTGGCTATATTTAACACTGGGTACACGCTATACTGACAGATCAACCCAGCCCACCGCCTCCCACCAGCAGTGTAAACACCTCCCTATAACTCACACACAAGATAAACTATTCAGCCCCTGAGAGTCTGCAGAGCAACAGCATTACACAATTTCATTCTTGCTGATGAGAGCAGTACAGTGTCCAACAACAACGTAACATACAGTGAGGAGAAGTATTGAGTTTTTGTTATTTAATATACTTCCAGTGCATATGTCCATGTCAAATTAACATGTCTTGTGATTCTGAAT